TTCTTTTCCCTCTCCTCTTTCCTCTTTTCACCTCCTAATATCAGTTAGCCATAGCCTTTTACATTGTCAAGATAGATAATATTTGTATTCTGTTTCACAACTCATAATTGCGTTAGTTCATTCTGGCACTGCCATAAAGAAATACCTGAGACTGGATAATGTATAAAAATGACATTTAATTGGTTCGTGGCTCTGCAGGCTATACAGGAAGCATGGCAGCTTCTGCTTCTAGGGAGGACTCAGGGAGCTTTTACTCATGGCAGATAGCAAAGGGGGAGCAGGTGTCTTCACATGGCAGGAGCAGGACCCAGAGAGAGAGGGGAGGTGCCACACACTTTTAAACAACCAGATCTTGTGAGAACTCTATCACAAAAACAGCACCAAAGGAATGGTGCTAAACCATTCATGAAGGATCCACCCCCAAGATCCCATCCCCTCCCACCAGGCCCCACCTCTAGTGTGGGATTACAATTGAACATGAGATTTGGGCAGGGACACAGATCCAAACCATGTCAATAGTTATGTCCTTTGTGCTCTGTGAATAGGCCAATTTTGGAAGTTAAAGAACAATAAGCAAATACAGGATTATGACTCTGCAGCTGTTGCTCACTGAAGAGCAAAGTGGTGGGGTAGAATTTCATTTTCTTCACTGTGATTCTCATATGGTTCTTGTGCCATTTAGGAGAGAAAGTTCCTATACCACGGTCAAATGAGAGAATTTTTCTAACATTTTATTAGTTGTTTAAAATCATGTCACATTTTGGTTTGCTTCATACTTAGAGCTTACCTTTCTTTTTTAAATTTTTATTTTTTTAATTTAGATTTAAAATTTAAGATTTTAATTTTTATTTAAAAATTTTAAAATTGAAACATAACAATGGTACATATTTTTGGGATATGTAGTGATACATATAATGTATAGTGATCAGATCAGAGTAATTAGCATACCCATCAACTCAAACATTTACCATTTCTTTGTATAGGAGACATTCAATATCCCCCTTCTAGCTATTTGTAAACCTTAACTTTCTTGTTCACTTTTCCTGGAGTTTCAGTAACTTTTCTTTTTATGTTGTTGCCAAAATGTGCAGTCAGTATATCCTAAAAATCATTTAGTTTAATTATATTGCCCATTTTGCTTAAAGTATTTCCTCTCCAGAGGCATCCCTCCTGGAGCCTCCATTTTTTGCTTTAATCCCTGGTAGTTTCTCTGCCGTACAGCCCTTATTCTGGAACTTCACTGCATTCCTCAGTTATCACCATTGATTTCTAAATCTCATGTTTTTCTCCTTCATGGTTTACATTCTCATTTTGCTGGAAAACATACTTTAGTATCTTCCTTAGAAATGGTATGGGAGAAGTAAATTTTCTGAACTCTTGTCTATTTAACCACTCAATTGGTAATCTAGCTAAAATACAGTCTCAAAATAATTTTCCCTCAGAATTTTAAAATCAGTGCTCCATTGTTTTCTAATGTTCAGTATTGCTGATGAGAAGTCTGATGCCAATCTAATTTTTGTTGCTTTGTAAATGTTTTAATCTTTGGAAGCATTTAGGATTTCTCCTGAAATGGCACAATGATGCATTTAGGTATAGTTTGTTTTTTTTTTTTTTTTTTTTTTTTTTCATTCTTTGTGCTGGATACTTGGTGGGATATTTCAATCTGAAGACTTCTATCTTCAGTTAGGGGGAATTTATTTCTTTTGTCTGTCTGGTTATTTTCTTTTTTCTCTGTTCTCTCTTTCTAGATATCCTGTTAGTTGGTTGTTATAACTCCAAAATTTCTCCTCTATTTCACCCGTATTTTCTATTTCTTTATCTTTCTGTCTTAAATACTGGGATATTTACTTAACTTTATCTTTCAAATCTTTTTGTTTGTTTTAGAGACAGGGTCTCACTCTGTTGCCCTGGCTGGAGTACAGTGGTGTGATCATAGCTCACCACAGCCCTATACTCCTGGGTTCAAGGAGTTCAAGATCCTTCTGCCGCAGCCTCCTGAGTAGCTGGGATTACAGGTGTGTGTCACCATGCCTGGATAACTTTTTTATTTTATGAAGAGATACTGTGTTGCCTAAACTGGCCTCAAACTTGTGGCCTCAAGGGATCCTTCTCCTCCTCCTCCTCCTCCTTCTTTCTTCTTCTCTTCCTCCTTCTTCTTCTTTCTCCTCCTCCTCCCCTTCCTTCCTTCTCCTCCCTCCCTCCCTCCCTTCTTCCCTTCCTTCCTTCCTTCTTTCCTTCCTTCCTTCCTTCCTTCTTTTCTCTTTTCCTTTTTCTTTTCCCTAAGGCAGAGCTCTGTCACCCAGGCTGGAGTGAATGGCATGATCTCTGCTCACTGCAAACTCTACCTCCTGGGCTCAAGCGATCCTCCTACCACAACCCCCCAGGTAGCCGGGATTACAGGTGTACACCATCATGCCTGGCTAATTTTTGCATTTTTAGTAGAGACAGAATTTCACCATGTTGGTCAGTCTGGTCTCAAACTCCTGACTTCAGATGATCTGCCTGCCTTGGCCTCCCAAAATGCTGGGTTTACAGTTGTGGGCCACTACACCTGGCCATAAGTGATCCTTCTGCCTTGGCCTCCCCAAGTGCTGGGATTACAGGCATGAACCACCAGGCCTGGCCCTTAAATCTATTGCATTTTTAATTTTAGTGATATATTTTTAGTTTCCAAAAGTTCTTTCTTGTTCTTGGATTTTTTTTTTTCATAGCACCTTGTTTTATAGATAGAATATTCTTCTTGGATGTATCTGGAGCTACCAATTAGTATTTTCTTTTAATTCTCTCTGTGTTCTGAGAGAATTTATATGTTTCTTCCAGCATGGGTTGTTCTGTTTCTATTTGTGCATATATTTGTTTATTTGTTGCTGGTTTTCATCATGCATGGGGTGACCTTGGTTGTGGGCATGGATTTCCCCTGCTGTCATGCGTTTAGGTCTGCCTCCCTGCTGGGGCCCTACCTTGATGAGAAGAGTTTGTGAGTGCTGTTGATTCTTGAGCAGGGATTCATTTGGAATGCAAACATCCAGCCCTGGTTTCCCTCAGTGTATTCAGATCTTGTAGAGAAGCATTCCAAGGCTTTCTTTCCTTCCCTTTTCCTCTGTGTCATGTTCTCCATTTTCTGTGTTCTATGTTCCAGACATCTGTGGGAACCTTCCATCTGCTTAGGGTCTCCCTCCCTTCTTTGCTTATAGGAATTTATCCACTTTTCCCCTTTACTATCCTTTTAATAGGATCTTGGAGAGGAGGGGAATGAGAGGAAAGAGAATGTGCCTAACATGGCATTAAAAAAAAATAAAATAAAACCCTTAAAAGTTCATTTTCCTATGTTTCAAAATGATCATTGTAGAAAATTGAGAAAATATAAACCGTCAAATAAAAATGACCTGTTATTTTATCACTCAGAAATAACATTGTTAATGTTTTAAAACATGTTCAAGTTCCTTTTTCTACATATTTTTGTAACAATGGGCTCATACCATATGTGTTCTGTATTGTAACATGCTTCTTAAAACTAAGCAAAATCTTCTAAAGATCTTTCCATATCACAGCATATCTCTTACAATATTCTGAGACCTAGTATTTATTGAAAGCTATATCATCACTTACATTACCAATCCTCTATCTTTAGACATTAGGTTGTTTCTCATTTCCAGTACTCGAAGCAAGCATTTATAAACACGCTGGGCTAAATCTTCACTCATAGCTTTGACTATCTGCTTTGGATAAACTCTGCTACTTTCTCCAAAGTAGACAGTCAAGTCTATGAGCAGTAGAGTTGCCGGATGACAGTACGTGCAGCCTGCATCTGTGGGCCAGCATTCAAGCTGAAATACCCACCCTCTTTTCCCTGCCACCACTTTCACTTTCTGGTTCCAAACTGTCACTTCACTGTGCTTCACTTGGATTCTGTGAAGCATTATAGCAGAGGCATTAAGACCATAATTTTCAGAGTCAGACAGACCAGGGTTGAATCTTAGCTTTGCCACTTATTAAATGTGTGACCTTAGGCTGTTTTAATTAACCTCTTTGAGTACTTTTCTATAATATGAGGAAATAATTCTACTTTTTTGATGAGGTTGTCATGAGAATTAAACGGGATTTAAAAAATGCATGTAAAGCACTTGACACAGGCCCAGGCAGGTTGAAAGTGTTCACAAATCATGGTGTTAGATTCATTCCTAGCCCTAAACCCATTCGAATCTCTCTTTCAAGGCCACATTCAAGATGCACCCCATCTAGGGGGCTTTCCTGACCAGGGCAGCCCAGCACTCTGAGTTGTGGGGGCACTTGTGGGTTCAGAACACTTTGTCTTGTTGCTTTCATATATTTGCTTGTATGGGAAGAAGAAACATCCCCACCTCACCTCACTATGCAGCACTGTGCTGTGGGTCCCTCACTGGATGAATTCATTTTCATTCGTGTTCTTGCAGAAGAGAGGTGATGATGAAAAGGAGCTTGTGACTCCATGTCAGTGGCATCATAATTGGTTTTTTGGAGTTTATTTCAAACCCTTGGGTAACTCAGGGGCTTGGAGGGTGGTACCTGACCCCAAGGACACAGGACACTCCCATGAAATCAATCAGCAGGCAGCAGAGGCAGGGAAAGCCGCTGAGCAGGAGGCTGCCAGACCTCTGTAATGCTGAGCCTCTCCAGGACATTGTCACAGCTCAGCAAGCAGCCCAGGACCTCTGTGTGCCTTGCAAGCCGCCTTCCTCCCCCGTGGTTGCTTTGCTCTGAGCGGTAGGATGCTTTTGGAGCTGGGACAGCCTTCCTCTTGAGCCTCCCCTAACCCACAAAGGTCCCTTTCACACCACAGGGATGCCTCCCCGGTTGCCAGGGGAGATTGAGAAGCAGCCTGTGTGCAGAGCTGCAGCTGGAGGGCTTGCCGTGGGACAGCTTCCAGGAGAGGGTCCCGGAGGAGTGGAAGGGGCAGCCCTGGGGGAGGCGATGCGTGGAGGAGGCTGTGTCACCCCATTCCCCATCTGGGTGTCTTTCAGGAGTCATGGCCGGCTTCAACATGGGGGGCGACCTCAGGGAGCCTGCCGCCAACATTCCCCTGGGCTCCCTGGCAGCTGTTGGCATCTCGTAAGTTCTCCTCATGGCAATCAGTTTGAGCTGGAGAGTGGGAGAGAAAACCCCAGGCAGAAGAGGGGATTGCCCCTGTTGTTCTGAGAGTGCCCCGGCTGTGACCAATCTATTTCATATTATGATTCTTCTTTTAACACTCGGTGGGCTGGAAAATTCACGTCTGGTGGGTTCAGACACTGCCCTTTCATGCGCCCTGCCTGGGAATGCTGCCGAGGAGGAGTGTCAGGACCCAGATCACAGATGGAATCCTTTCTTTCCTCAGCCCTCCGCCCCCCTCCCTCCCCCACCCCCTGGTTGAACTTGGGGATTTTTAACCACCGAGTTTCCAGGATCATTGGAGGGAGCATAAAGATGAAGAGTTTTGCAATCAGATGAATTCGGGCTTGCATCTCAGCTCTGCCGCTGATTGGCTGCATGACTCTGGACACTTGACTGAGCTCTCTGAGCCTCCATTTCCTTTCCCACGAAATGGGGATAATGACAGTGTATGTGCTTCATAGACTGTGGGGGAGAGAGTAGAAGGCACACAGTGGAAGCTCAGCACCCAGCTCTCCTTCCCCCAGCGAGCGTCCCCTCCAGCTCCCCCAGGCCGTCAGGCCTCTGGGGCTTTAGTTCACACTGTGCCACCCACATGAGTAGGCTGGGTAACCTTGGGTCTATTTCTGACCTTTTAGAATCTTCTGTTTCTGTACCACAGGAAGAAACTCCTCTGCCCTTCATTGGGTGAATGTAAAGAGGCAATGAGTTCAGAGACCAGAGACAATGAGTTGAGAAGTGAAAAGGGCCTGTGTTATTCTAACGACAGTATTTAGAAAATATTAACGTAGCTGTTTCACAGACACTGAATTTGCTCTTAGCTCATTGCAGTGACACCATTGCTATCAGCCTGGCACAGAGCATCAGGCTATTTTGTGCAAAATAAGGCAATCACATTGGGAAGAAAATAAAGACAATGGTGATAGAGTTGAGTGTTGGGAAGGAAATAAAAGAAAGAGGGTTCTGTATGAGGATCCTGTCTTGTTTCTCGTTCCAGCTGGGAGGTTCTAGGAGGAACCCCTGGCCCATCCTGGGTCAGGATGGGAGTGAGGAGACCACAGGAACCTGTGTCTTGTTCAAGGTTGCAGGGCATCTTGGGGACAGAGCCAGGCCACTGCTCTCTGCCTTGTGACTTTAGTTTCCCTCTTTATTTGATCCAGCGGGACTTAGAGGCCTGAAGGATCATCAACTTGTTCTTTTGCTGTAGGAGGCTGGGGTGTGAGGCTGCTGGGCAACCCTGGCCTGAATCCTGGCAACCTAGAGGCAACTGGGCCTCCTTCTTCCCTACTCCAAACGCCCTTTGTGTGTTTTTCTTTTTTAATGTAAGAATGAGATAAAATAGCACTCACTTCAGCATCACGTATACTAAAATCAAAACAATAAAGAGATTAGCATGGTCTGTGTGCAAGGATGACATGCAAATTCGTGAAGCCTTCCATATTTTTATATACATTAAAAAAAAAACAATGGTACCCCTTTTTTGGTAAGAAATATGCCAGAAGAGAAATAGTACAAAAAGTGTCCCCCCAAGCCAGCTGGGGAGGCTTCATGACTAGCCTTTCTCTTATTCTGAGGCAGGTTCCCATAGGAAATGGAAGGTTGAGTGGGGGGAGTGGATGGGGCTGGGTGAGGTGAGTGGGGGGCAGCTCTGCTCTGCTCTTGGGTTTTGCAGGTGGTTTCTGTACATCGTCTTCGTCTTCCTCCTGGGCGCCATCTGCACTCGAGAGGCCCTTCGCTATGACTTCCTGATAGCCGAAAAGGTGAGTGAGGCCTGAGCTACTCAAAGGGCTCAGTCTGTTGCAGTCATTTATTTGTTCTCACCAACAAATGGTCACCTTCCCCTTGTGGTACTGTCTGGAAATCCATATAGTCTTATCAACATTTAATTAATTGATTTTTTGAGACAGGGTCTCACTTTGTTGCCCAGGCTGGAGTGCAGTGTTGCAATCTCAGCTCACTGTAGCCTCAACCTTCCAGGCTCAAGCGATTCTCCCTCCTCAGACCCCCAAGTAGCTGCAACACACCATCATGCCGGGCTAATTTATTTTTATTTTTTGGTAGAGATGAGGTCTCACCGTGTTGTTCAGGCTGGTCTCAAACTCCTGGCCTCAAGTGATCCTCCTGCCTCAGCCTCCCAAAGTGCTGGGATTACAGGCTTGAGCCACCGTGCCCAGCCTACATACAGCCTCAAGCCCAGGAATCAAGGGTTGGGTTGTGGTGGGGAAGAGAGATGACGGAGAAGGTACAGGCTTGGCTTGGGGATCTCTAGAAACAGATGACGATGCCCAGAGAGACTCACAAATACGAGGGGCTAGATAATGGGGACATCTCTTCCTGTTGAAAATGAGGACAGAAACAGAAGAATCTGGTAGCCCCAAATTCCCAGCTAAGCAAGTTCCTTGCTTTTGCTAATAGCTTCACCGTCCAGGAAGAAGAGAAAGTGCTGCTCAGAAGCAGCAAGTGGAGAAGGAGGCTGGAGACAGGCAGAGGTGGAGGGAGCGGGAGGAAGCTCAGGACCTGGGTGAGCGCCAAGGCCCTCCTTGTCCCTGAGGTCCTTGACCCCTTTGGCTTTCCTGAGAATCTCGGACACTCCGGGCTGATTTCGCTGCAACATCTTTGTTTCTAGAGTCCGCACCCTGCCAGGAGAAGATTAGTGAATTCCTGGCCTTCCACCACAGTTAGCAGGCTGGTGGTCATGTGACATCAAGGACATTTATTTGGACATCAGATTTTATTAGGTTCAAGGACATCCTAGAACCCACATGAGTAAGATTTCCAGACATTTTCTGGAAATTCCCAAAAACTCCTACCCTCCTTTAAGTTCTTGGAGGAAAAAGTAGACCCTGAGATTCCCATTATTTTTCAGAGAAATGTAGTTGGCTAGGGAGTTTTTCTGTTAACTCCTGAGTAACGCTGCTTGTATTTTATGTATTTTTTATTTTTAAAATTTAACTTTTTAAAGACAGAATCTCACCCTGTCACCCAGGCTAGAGAGCAGTAACTTGGAGACGGCTCATTATAGCCTCAACTTCCAGGGCTCAAGTGATTCTCCTGACTCAGTTTCCCAAGTAGCCAGGACTACAGACATGCATCACCACACTCATAATTTTTTAAAAAATGTTTTTGTAGAGATGGGGTTTTGCCATGTTGCCCAGGCTGGTCTTGAACTCCTGGCTTTAAGTGATCCTCCCACCTCAGCTTTCCAAAGTGTTAGGATTACAGGCATGAGCTCCTATATTTTAGGATAGAATACCATTTTCTCTTGGTGTAAGGCTTTGCAAAGCAGCCCTGCTGATCTTCATGGAAGGCCAGTGCCTGGGGCAACCTGAGGCAGGAAACTCTGAATTTTCTTTTGAGAGATACATTTGAGCTTGGTTTTCACAGTAGCACAGGTTTCTTTTTAAGGCTTGTAGGCACCCATGCAAAGGTGATTATTTGTTTTCAGGGGTTAGGATAAAGGCACGTTTTTTGAAAGGCGGTGCAGTTCAGTTAGTGGGAGAACAGATACCCACCTTCCAGCACCCAAGGTCACAGACCCCCAGGTGGCAAGGTTTGCTCTCAGGCAGGAGTATGTAGCCCTCATTTGTATCTACATGTGTGCTTCCGTCTGGAGTTTCACTCCCAAGGGTCTGTTCTAGAGCTATGGAATGAAAAGCTTGGCTGCATTACAGGAATTGAAGGCCTCAGGGAGCAGCCTGGGTGAGGCTGGTTTGACTGGGGGAAGTGTTTCCTGCTGTCTGCAGCTTGCCAGTGGCTGGCCAGCTCTGCCTGCTTCTAAAGCTCCTTTCTCATGCTTTCCTTCACAGAGGTCCCTCCACCTTTTAGAGACTCTGATCTGATGATCCCCTGGGCTGCAGCACCTCCCTCCTCTCCTTCCCCTGCTTGGCAAGGGAAAGCTCAGAGTGGGTATGTGGGAGGGCAGGCAGCTTTGTATGTAAGGAAGGCCACAAACAGCAGTAGGGTAAAAACAGCCCAGAGACAGCATGAGAGAGCCTTTGTGGGTGGAAATTACACACCCAATAATAGGCACACGAACAGAGGGGAGCCTCCTTTGGAATGCCACCTGTCCTGATGGTGAGCAGGTAGGCAAGCACTTAGCCAAGTGGGGGCACCTGCTGCATCAGGCACAGCAATCGCACGTGGGAACGTAATTACGCACACTGGGATGAAAGGTGGTGACTGAGTTCTTGGAGAGGACAAGAGACTGTTTCCTGGAATAGGCCATTGTGAAGCCTGTAAAGGAGCAAAGCTACTGCTCTTGGTTCTCAGTAGAAATGGGTGGGTGCAGCAAGTCAGTGAGCAGTGATGGAATCACCCCTGATGATGGCAAAATAGCAGCACCTCGGTCTTCCGCTTCCCACCATCCGCCCCTAAAGGAGGCCACACAGGAGTTTCCTCCCACACCTTTTCTCCTTCTGACTGACCCTGCTGCCGTAGCAGGTACCATGCTTAGGCAGTAAACTGGGCCACAGATGTTTTTACTGGCAGTACCCGGAGAATGGGAGGGGGCAACCTACACAGGTTGGGAGGTGCAAGTGCGGAGCCTCTTTACTTGGTCACTTGACACAACCTGCCACCCTGATAACCTGTTCATCTCAGCTTCCTTTCTTAGCTGTGGCTTCCGTTTGGAGCCAGCGCATCTCTGGGCTTTCCTGGGCTGGAAAAAAGCAAGGCCTCTTCTTTCTTCTGTTGGTGTGCCCCACGCATCACCTCTGGACGCAGAGACAGGGCAGGTCTCTGACATACTGTCTTTGGCACTCATTCTCATGCAGCTCCCCAGTGCACCCCTCTTTCTTTCTCTCGGGGCCTTTCTGCCAGAACAATTATCTTCCATGGCTGCAGGCTGCCTGGATTCCTTTTTACTGATCTGCAGCTGATCAGTTAATCTGTTTCTTTCTGGGTTTCCTGCAACTTCTCTGATCTATTTCTAATTATTTGGCTTCTCAATTCAGTTTCTCTAAGAAGCATCTTTTTACTTTCAATTACCTCCCCAGAGGAACTTGCTCTCAGGTGTATGTGCATTCTTAAAAGTCTTGTATATGGTTGTGGCTCTGAGATAACCCATGAAAGCACATAGTAGGTGCTAATTATAATAAATTTTGCCTGGCACATAGTAGGTGCTAATTAAATTTTAACTCCCTTCCATACTCCTTATGGGCACACCCTTACAGATGAACACATTTATTTTAGGAACACATTTTCTCCCCACAAATTCACCATATTTAATTAAATATTAAAAGCCAAAATAGTCAATCTCAGTATTATTTAGTTATAAAAAGAATTGCACAGTGTTAGTTGGGGTGAAATTAAATAGATTAAATGTTTTAAAATAAACTTGTATACAGTCCAGGAAACAGATGTTTATTACACATAAAAAAGACCAAGTACCTTAGGAGCCCTGAGGCTTGCTAACTAGCAAAATAAGAGCAATCTAAGAAGGAAAAATATCCCAAAAGTATTGTTGTTAAAACTAGGGAATCTGGGCGGGTGCAGTGGCTTATTCCTCTAATCCCAGCACTTTGGGAGGTCATGGCAGGTGGATCACCTGAGGTCAGGAGTTCAAGACCAGCTTGGCCAGCACAGTGAAACCCTGTCTCTACCAAAAAATACAAAAATTAGCCAGGCATGGTGATACACACCCGTAGTCCCAGCTACTCAAGAGTCTGAGGCAGGAGAATCGCTACAACCCAGGAGACGGAGGTTGCAGTGAGCCAAGATTGAGCTACTGCACTCCAGCCTGGGGTACAGTGTGAGACTCGGTCTCACAACAAAAAACTGGGGGATCCCACAGAACAAAGTCTGATTCCTGGATTTAATAGTCATGGTTCCACATATTCAAGAGGGACCTTGGAAGCCCATGACACAAGCTGTGCAGGGAAGATGGGGATGGGACAGCACTGGTGACAGGGGAGTGAGTCTCCTGGGCCGCTCGGCACCTGTGAGTGGGCCAGCCTGAGTGTCCTCTGTCCTCCATCGTGGACACAGTCCTGCCTCTCAGGAAGGGAAGCAGTCTATAGAAAATGGCTCTCAAGTAAGAGGTAAAACTTGACTGAAAGTTGAGATGTTGATCAATTCATGGAGTGTGGAGTGTTAGGAAACTGATGACTCTGCGGAAATGAGATGTGGGAGAAAAAACCATAGCATTGTTGAGACATGGCCTTATTAATACACTTGGGATTGTGAGGGTATCAGGACGTACTCCTCAGTGATGTCAGGGGGCCACTGGAATTAGATGAGACAGAACAGGCCCCTTGCAAATGACTAAATCCAGTCCTTCAAGAGAAGAGAGCAGCCAGTGAATGAGTGGAGTCCCTCAACGGCCAAAGCTCAAATGGGAGCTGGGAGAAAATAATAAGAGCAGGGAGATGGAAGTAATTGTTTTCATCAGTAGTCACTGAAAAAAGAAATCAGGGTAATTCACACTCCATGTAATATTTTGGAAAGAGTTTTTTTTTTTTTTTTTTTTTTTTTTGGTGGGGGAATGGCTCAAACAAGTGGATGGCAGAAGGGAATCACTTTTTATTTAAAAAGAACTGTTGACACACCTCTTCTCAAATAAATTCTCACTTCTACCTCCATTGGCACATTTCGCAAGTTTTCAGTCTGATATGAGCCGAGAAAGCAATTAAGTTCTGTGAGGGCTGGGAGCAGACCCACATGGTTCGCCATTGTGTCTATAGCCTTGCTCTGCCTAGCACCATGCCAGGAACATAACCTGTCCTCAGGAAATGCTTCTTAAATGGATGGATGGATGGATGACAAATGAAAGAAAGATACAGGATTTAGGCAGGAGAGAGGTGGAATGAAGTTTTTATAATTTGTCTAGATGCGGGGACAAACATTTCATATATTATTCAGCAAACAGACCGAATAATAGTTTATATTTTTACAGTCCTCCGCTCTACCAACTGAGCTATCGAAGGATTCACACAATAGTTTATATTTTTAAAAAGTGGTGAGTGAACAGATCATGTTACATAATTGACAAATGGGACATAAACCAGTTGCTATACCTGGCCCTGTCTGACCCCAGCCGCTAGAGTTCTGGAGGAATCCCAGGGTGTATCTCTGGGAAGGCTGGTCAAAGACGGAAGCCACCGTATCGTATACTGATGGTGCCCAGTTCCTGAGGTCAGTCCAGCATTAGGAGGATGCCAGTCTGGGGCATTTCCACTCATTCCTGCTCTGAGTAAATAGACTTTAAATGAAAAAGTTTTAAAAAAATCAAACATATGTAATCTTTTAGGTAAGAAGCAGTGAAATTTCTGCAAGGAGACACCTTGCCTGACTCTCCCAAAGAATTTTTTGAGGGGAGAATGCAATATATGCCCAGTGGTTCGCCACATCTGCTATACATTTGAATCACCTGGACAGCTTTCTAAACATCAACCACGTCTGTGTCTCACTCTCTACTAATTAAATCAGAATTTCTGGGTGATTCTTACATTTAGCCAGAGTGGAGAACTACTGACTTAAATTTTCAAAAGGCTCTTTCTTGTTAAAATTTTGTCATAGAATCTACTTTTTAAAAACCAGTCAACATAGGATGCACTTGGTAGAGAAGACAGAAATAAAGGTAATAGATACATATCTCAGAATGGATTGAAGATTAATCATGGACCCAGTGTATCTAACAGTTTTGTAAGGCCCCTGGGGCATGATCACAGCGAAGACCTGAAGCTGCATGGATTCAGCTGCTGAGTTCTGTTTGCCAGATTCTGCATGAGGTGCTAGAGGAAGGGAGCCAGGATGCATGATACAGTTCTATCCGTGAGGTGCTCAGGGTGCTGGCAGGATAAGCCATGAGCATAACTAACTATCCCACAGGACAGAAAGTAACAAAATGCCATCAGATCATGTAAAGTGATGGAAACACTAGACAACATTGATTTCTTGTAGTAACAAAACGATGAGTGGGGTGGGCAGGACAAACCCAAGAAACCTGTGACATGGAAAAAAGAGACAGGTGAGGTTCTTTGGGGATAAGAGTGAGATGATAAAGTTAGGGGAAAGTAATCAACACTGAATTAAAGACAAGGTGGGCTGCATAGTGGACCTTATTCTTGTCCATCAAGCCTCTGACCTTCCTGACCATGTGGGGATTATTCCACCCAATGATCTTGAAGGGAGTGAGTACCCCCCATGTTGCATAATAGAAGCCCAGTGGACCAGACCTCTCTTGCTTGCCCCTTTGCAGCCCTGGTAGTGCACATGACCTACACGAGGCCATTGCGTGCTCACATTGTGACCAATGAGGCAGAGGTGAAGAGCTGGTGAGAATTCGTCCACAGGGCAGCTGGGGTGCTGGCGGTGTCTTGGCCAAGCTGTTCCTGGGGAAGAGGTTGGGTATGCCTCCAGACTTCATCCTGCCCTTTTCTGAGGCTCATCCTTTAGTTTCCTTATGATTCTATGAACCTTCAGCATCCTACAAATATATTCTTTTTTAAGCAAAGTTGTTTTTTTTTTTTCCCAATCAACTGTCCTGACTGATGTGAGATTCATCAGTCAGTCAAATTGTTCCAGTGATAATTTATGAGCCAGAAGAGAGGTCTAGCCAGCGGCTTGTGTTCAGTGTCGCTTGATGACACGAATCCAGTGCTTTGCTGATGCAAGGAAGTAAAAGATGAGGCGAGGAGAGCCTTCCTCAAGAAGGGTTCAGGTGACAAAGCTGAATGTTAAATCTAACCTGTCTGTAAGCACTGGACACATGAGTACATGGAATGTATACTTCTGGCCCCTGTGCCTAAAGTAAAGTAGAATGGAGAGGGCACCTCAAATAAGAAAACAAAGCTGCTTCCTTGTGGGTACAGATGAGTTCTGGCCCAGAAGGGTGAATTCGTGGCGAGCAGCCATGCAGCCCCCCAGCCCCTTAGCACTTTTAGCACTGGGTTAGCTGACCAGTCCTAGTAAGACCTTGGACCCCGATCTTTTGCAAGTTGGCACCAAGAACAGCTGTGCCCTGTTATTCTATCTGTTGGTGCCTTGTGGATCATGGATATCTTTCATTCATTCAGCATTTATTTTTCTGTGTTGGGCACCAAGAATTCTAGGGTAAACAAGACAGAAGACCTGCTTAAAGGAAGCCTCCAGATTAGAGGAGGGGGCACCATGATAGGTGCTATCGTAACATCACATTTGGGATGCTGTGGAGCACTGAGAAGTGGCTACTGTAGTCAGGGGAACTGGGGATGGCCTCACCGTGATGGTGAGGTTTGCGCTGAATTTTAAAGCACATTAGGAGTTTAACAGACAATGAGTAGATTAGTGGGTGTGGACAGAGCTTTCTTACAGGCAGAAAAATCATGCTGATTAGACTCTTAGTATGCAGGGTGTGAGGCTAAAGAGATCACAGACCATGAAGAGCCTTACATGTCAGGGCAGGGGGAGCCTTTGATAGGTCTGCAATGGAGACAGTGTGATCAGATTTGAGTTCAGAGAGGTCACTCCCGCAGAGGCTTATCGGGTGATTCAGAGTGAATCATCTGAATGATTTAAGCTCATCTTTAAGGGTGAGCTTAAAGGCAAGAGGCCAATGAGCATTGTAGTTGGCCAGTTTGTTCTCAAAGTGTGGTCTCTGGGAACACGTGGGGAATCCAAATTTCCAGGCCCCACCCCAAGTCTACTGAACCAGAAACTCTTAGGAGGGTCCCAGAAATTTGTGTTTAGCAAGCCCTGCAGCTGAGTCTGGCAGACACTTCATTTGAGAACCACTGCACAGTCCATATGAAATGTTGTCGATTCAGCTGAAGTCATGGAATGAATGGGGGCGAGGCTGGGAATGTGGAAACTGTATCCCAGAGATCGGATCTAGAGGACTCAGTGGATGATTGCATGGGGTGCAGGTGGGTGGGTGCTGGGGGAGTAGAAAGCCACAGGAACAGGCTCTGGCACTGGCTAATAAAACCACTTCTCACACAGGTATCCCTCGTGGGCTTCCTGTTCCTTTTGGGCTTATACATCTCGTCCCTGGCTTCCTGTATGGGAGGACTTTATGGAGCTCCCCGCATCCTGCAATGCATTGCTCAGGAGAAAGTGATCCCTGCACTTGCCTGTCTGGGACAAGGGGTGAGTCATCCTCTTTTTTTTTTTTTTTTGAGAAACATGTTTTGCTGCTAACTTGATTGTTGGCTCATAATTGGTTAAGCTTTTCTGATCTGAGCCTCTGATCAATTTCTTTGGGGTGACATAGAAAAGAATGCAGAGGTCATTTCTTTCAGCCCTTTCCTCTGGCTGGCTTAGGTTAGGGCCAAGTAGATGAAGCATCTTAAATGTCACAGCCACCCAGCCCTTTAGCCCCCTTAGCACTTTTTTTTTTTTTTTTTTTTTTTTGAGACAGAGTCTCATTCTGTCACCCAGGCTGAAGTGCAGTGGCACGATCTCAGCTCACTGCAACCTCCACCTCCGGGGTTCAAGTGATTCTTCTGCCTCAGCCTCCTGAGTAGCTGGGATTACAGGCATGGGCCACCATGCCCAGCTAATTTTGTATTTTTAGTAGAGACGTGGTTTCTCCATGTTGGTCAGGCTGGTCTTGAACTCCCGATCTCAGGTGATCTGCCCACCTCGGCCTCTCAAAGTGCTGGGATTACAGGCAAGAGCCACTGTGCCACTGCGCACTGGTTTAGCTAACCAGTCCCAGTAACATCTTCTACCCTGAGCAGCATAAAAATGCAGTGCCCCATCCTTTAATAAAAATGAATTCCAATCCTCCAGGTTTAGCATAGAAGAAAGCATGTTTTGGTCAGGAGGTGAGCTGGTTCTTGCAGCTCTAACTGCCCTCGAAGCTCACCTGCCCCTTGGGGGTTGCTGTTTGATGATTTCTCATACCTCTGGCCTCTAGGGTTCCTGTTAACCATGGCAAACCAAACCTTAACTGATACATAAAGGACAGCTCAGTTGAGTCATGGCTGGAATGATTAAAATAGACATTCCTATAGCCTAGGGGAGGACCAAAGAGACATAAACAGAGACTCCCACTTCCCAATAATATGGTTTGCAAGCTGCAGTTTATTTTTGTCTTGTTGGGGTACCACTAAGGGCCTCCCCATCCACTTCCAGTTTGCAGCCTCCCTCTGGTTTCGGGAACACATCTTTGGAACTTATCTTTGATTTCTTCCTTTACCTTCCTCCAAAAATACAGTTTTGTTTTGGAAATAGTTTGAGATCCTATTAGACATCCACTGGAAATGGTGAGTAGGCAGGTGGATATGTAAGACTGGCTTTCAGGTGAATGTTTTAGGCTGGAGATTCAAATTTGGAAGTCGTCAGTATAACGCCGGTATTCAAAGCCGTGAGCCTCGTTGAGCTCACCAAGGGAGGGAGTACAGATAGAGAAGAGGTCTGAGGATGGAGCCCAGGGCTGCTTTAACTGTGGAATTCAGAGATGTGAAGAGCCAGCCGCAGAAACCAAGGAAAAGCAGTCAGTGAAGAGGGAGGTGAATCAGGAGAAGTGAGGCAAAGAAAGGGTTTCAAAGAGGAGGGAGTTGCCAGCTGGGTCAAAGAACACAGGGACTGAAGTGACTGTTGCTTTTGGCCCAAGAACTATGTCAGTGACTGTGATGAAGAGCTCCTGGGAGTGGCAGCTAGCACCTTTTTTCCACTCCTATCCACCAGAAGGTCACCATAGCCACCTCCATGAATAACAGGCGTGTGTAGTGTGTGTGCATGAGCATGTGTGCATGTTTAGTGTCAGAATTCCCCTCCTCCAGCCACCAGTGATTCTGCTGTGTCTTCTGGAATCTGCCTCTTCCTGGGAAGAATCAACTTTGTATCTCTTTGACTTTCTATGCTGGTATTAAAACCCAATGAAAGACAAAAGGAGGAAATATTTGGGATGTCACCATTCCATAATAATGCCCAATGTTCATAGTTATTCATACAGGCTGGGCACGGTGGCTCATGCCTATAATCCCAACACTTTGGGAGACCAAAGTGGGCAGATTGCTTGAGCTCAGGAGTTTGTGACTGGCCTGGGCAATATGGCAAAACTCCTTCTCTACAAACAATACAAAAATTACCCACATATGGTGCTGTGCATCTGTAGTCCCAGCTACTCAGGAGGCTGAGGTGGGAGGATGGCTTTAAGCCCAAGAGGCAGAGGTTGCAGTGAGCTGAGATCACACCACTGCAGTCCAGCCTGGGCAACAGAGCCAGACCCTGACAAAAAAAAAAAAAATAAAGTTACTAATACAACTAATATCTGTGAAGCCTACTGCATGTCAGTGTGTGTGAAGCATTTCACATGTATGAACTCTGATCTCACAGTAACCCCATGAGTTGAATATTATTATCTCAAGTTTATAGATGAACAACTAGTTGGGGAGAAGTGGCTGAGCCATTATGAGCGGTGTTTCTATCCTATAACTTCTGAAATCTCTGAAGCATTCTATCTGAAATTTTATGGTGCTGAATGTTATTTTTGTTGCTGCAGAAGGGACCAAACAAAACACCTGTGGCTGCCATCTGCCTGACCAGCTTGGTGACCATGGCCTTTGTCCTTGTGGGTCAGGTGAACATTCTGGCCCCCATCGTCACCATCAACTTCATGCTGACATATGTTGCAGTGGACTACTCTTACTTCTCCCTGTCCATGAGTTCCTGTAGCCTGCCCCCAGTGCCTGAGCCAGTGCTCAGGGAGGGCCCGGAAGGCCTCCATTGCTCTGAGCACCTGCTCTTAGAGAAAGCTCCCAACTATGGCTCTGAGGGACCTGCCCAAAGTGTCTTGGAGGGCACGCTGCTGGAATTCACCAAGGACATGGATCAGCTCTTCCAGCTAACCAAGAAGCTTGAGAGTAGCCGGCCCAGGCAAGGAGAGAGTAACAGGACCCCAGAGAATCAGAAGAGGAAAGGCAAGAAGGCAACCAAGCAGACCCTCCAAGATAGCTTCCTCTTGGACCTCAAATCCCCTCCTTCTTTCCCTGCCGAGATCTCTGATGGGTTGTCCGCTGCCTCCTGGGAGGGGCGGGAGTCCTGCTGGAACAAGCAGACTTCCAGGAGTGAAGGGACTCAGCCTGGGGGAACATATGGAGAGCAACCTGTGTCTGAGCTGTGCAACCAATCTGAGCCCAGTGGAGAAGGTGAGAGCTCTGTCATCACACTGGGGTCTCTTATTTGGGGATGACCACCGATTATCCTACCTACCCAGTTATCACAAACCAGTTATAGCTGGGTTTAAAATCCTTGTTAATTTTCTGCAGTATTTATTTTAAAACCTTATATTCAGGTATCAGCTGAATTATTTGTAATTCTACTCTGTTATACGTAGTTAAGTTTAAACAGTGATTTTTATCTACTCCTGTGTATTAGACCTGGGAGCCACAGCTAGTAATTGGGTATCAACCTCTTTCACTCAAAAATGAACTGAAGTATAATGCCAATGCAAGTAAAATCAACCTCTCCTTACAAGAGAAGTGGAAGTGTGTTGTGATAAACTATGTGTCAAGGACACAATGTTTTCTTTATGGAAGATGAATCTCCCAAACCAGGCAAGAGGGGATGGAGGGAAGGTGGCTTAAGCTTTGTTTTCTCAAATCTGTAAACACAGAGACACAGAGACAGACACTCACAGAGAGGCATACAGGGCATGAGAAATTCTGAAAGTGAGAACTCACATTTTCAAGGGCCTACCATATTCCAGGTGCTTTACGTCTATTACTTTGTGTAATATAATAGATATTAGCATTTTACATCTTACAAATGAAGACCTTGTGTCCCCATGAGGTCACAGGGAAGACTCTGAGCTGATTCTTTGCACAGCTGGACATCACCCTGCATTGTATTGTCTGTATTTGAGGCCCATGTACTTTCCTCTACATTATGCTGCCCCTGGAGATATAAACACACAGGTGTGGGCAAAGAGGAGGAGATGAGGAACACAGAAGGAGATATGTAAAAGCTAGTGTTTTGGCTGGGTGCGGTGGCTCATGCCTGTAATCCTAGCACTTTGGGAGGCCAAAGAGGGCGAATCACTTGAGGTCAGGAGTTCGAGACCAGCCTGACCAACATGGTGAAACGCTGTCTCTACTAAAAATACAAAGAATTGGCCGGGCATGGTGGCAGGTACCTGTAATCCCAGCTACTCATGAGGCTGAGGCAGTAGAATTGCTTGAACCTGGGAGGTAGAGGTTGCAGTGAGCCAAGATCACGCCACTGCACTCCAGCCTGGGTGACAGAGTGAAACTCCATTTCAAAACAAAAACAAAAACAAAACAAATCCCCCAAAACTAGTGTTTTACATTTTCTTTTTTTTTTTTTTGAGATGGAGTTTCACTCTTGTTACCCAGGCTGGAGTGCAATGGTGCGATCTCGGCTCACCACAGCCTCCGCCTCCTGGGTTCAGGCAATTCTCCTGCCTCAGCCTTCTGAGTAGCTGGAACTACAGGCGCGCACCACCGTGCCCAGCTAATTTTTGTATTTTTAGTAGAGACAGGGTTTCACCTTGTTGACCAGGATGGTCTCGATCTCTCGACGTGATCCACCCGCCTCAGCCTCCCAAAGTGCTGCGATTACAGGCTTGAGCCACCACGCCCGGCCTACATCTTCTTGGAAACCTGTTTTTCCTTCTTTGCCTCTAAATTGCTGGGAAGCTTTTAATTAAAAATTTAAATTTATTTTATTTTAATCAATGTAATAGCTATAATTTAATAAGCCAAATAATATTAAAAGTCACATAATCAGAAACAGTAGTTACTACTCTTTTATACCACCCCTTTTACTCTTCTCTTCTCCCAGTCCCATTCCCAGAAAATCCCACTTTGAACCAAAAATTTGCCTCTTCAGTTAATCTGTTACTAAATAATGTATTTGCATTGCTGCTTCTTGATATGTCAGTTTCCAACATCATCTTTTGACTTCCTCTTATGGTAAATGAGGATTTGGTACGATCTTAGCTCACTGAAACCTCCACCTCCCAGGTTCAAGTGATTCTCCTGCCTCAGCCTCCCAAGTAGCTGGGATTACAGGCACCCGTCACTACACCCAGCTAATTTTTGTATTTTTAGTAGAGATGGGGTTTCACCGTGTTGGCCAGGCTGGTCTCGAACTCCTGACCTCAAGTGATCTGCCCACCTCAGCCTCTCAAAGTGCTGGAATTAGAGGCATGAGATACTGCGCCCTGCCTGGATTTAATTCTTATATGCCACTCTGACATCTCCTCATCTAATGCCCCCAGTGTAGTTATCCCACAGTTTTGTTTGTTTTAAAATTAAAAGCTAGTATTCTTGTTATCATGACTAGGTAACTATTGCTCATTTATGAGCCATATGTTACACTATGATTACATTTCCTTTTTTGTTCAACTTTTGCTGTTTCCTGGTGTTAATAATTGCCTTAGTTTTTTCTTTGCTTGATTTTCTGTCATCATTTTTCTTAGGCTCTGGCAGATCTGTCAAATGCTCCAATTCTTCAGAAATATATTCACTTCTTTCCCTGGTCTGTCCTATGGCTCCATCCTTCTGTTCCACTCGAGATTGTTCATTTGCTAGGTCTGCTACAAAGCTGTTGTCTTAGAATTCCTCTTGTTACCACACTTGTGTGTCAGATCCAGGAAATAAGAAATTTCTTAGAAAATTCATGCTTTCACATAGTCTTTCTTTGATAATTCCCCACCCCCATCCCCCCATCCCTGCTCTATCATCTCAATTTTGTATCTTCTTTTTTTTTTTTTTTTTTTTTTGAGACGGAGTTTCACTCATGTTACCCAGGCTGGAGTGCAATGGCACAATCTCGGCTCACCGCAACCTCCACCTCCTGGGTTCAGGCAATTCTCCTGCCTCAGCCTCCTGAGTAGCTGGGATTACAGGCACGCGCCACCATGCCCAGCTAATTTTTTGTATTTTTAGTAGAGACGGGGTTTCACCATGTTGACCAGGATGGTCTCGATCTCTTGACCTCGTGATCCACCCGCCTCGGCCTCCCAAAGTGCTGGGATTACAGGCTTGAGCCACCACGCCCGGCCTAATTTTGTATCTTCTTAAATGGCTCTCCAGTTTTCTTTTCTTTTCTCTTTCCTATTGTTCATTTATTTGTTTTGGTTTGGTTTGGTTTTTTTCTGGGATATTTCATAGATTTTCTCTCCCAAGTCTTCTAATGATTTTTTTTAATGTTGATTATATCAGTCATGATTAGTTTTGACCGAGCATAATAAAAAACACAAAATAATAGCAACTTCATCGAGTGCATTCACAAGGAGCTAGAGGTGGGCAGCCCAGGGCTGCCATGGTAGCTCTATGGTCCTAAGTGACCCATGCTCTTCTATCACTTGCTTTACCATCATCCTTAGTAGATTGTCCTGTGATCCAGCATGTACTTGCTGGGGTCATCCCATTACATTTATATTCCAGGCACTGGAAAAAAGGGAAGGGCAAAAGGGCAAAAGGGTGAACCTCTAAACTGAGTCATTTGGAGGAGGCTTCCTCAAAAGTTCCTTTCCACATGTCTCATATTTCATTGGTTGGAATTTAGTCATGTGATTACAACAAACTGCCAAAGAAGGCTGAGAAATTGTTTTTTAACCGGTCATATTGCTACTTCACATAAAATTATGTGTTGCTTTCTTTTTTTTCCTAAGAAAGAAGGAGAGATAGGGTAGCAACTATCAGTCTGTGCCACAATTATCCAGTTTTAAATTTCTAAATTTAAAAACTGGTTGTAATCTAATTTTTCCTTACCTTTCTTTTTTTCAATTTAACCATTATCTATTTTTGTTCTATGGGTACAATGGCTTATCTTAGCTCTATGATAGTATTATTTATCTTCCCCTTTAAAATTTTCTTCCTGGGGCTGGACATGGTGGCTCACACCTGTAATCCTAGCACTTTGGGAGGCTGGGGCAGGAGGATCACTTCAGGCCAGGAGTTCGAGATCAGCCTAGGCAACATAGTGAGACCCCACATCTACAAAAATTAAAAAGGAAGTTAACCGGGCATGGTGGCATGTGCCTGTAGCCTCAGTTATTCCAGAGGCTAAAGTGGGAGGATCTCTTGAGTCCAGAAGTTCAAAGTTACAATTAGCTATGATCACTCCACTAAACTCCAGCCTGGGTGACAGAGCAAGACCCTGTCACTAAAAATAAAGGTAAAAATAATTGTAAAAAGTTTTTCTGCCCCTTTCACTGTTCCTGTTTTCTTTAATTCTTTTCTCTTTGGTTTGGCGCTCTCTCTCTCTCTCTCTCTCTCTCTCTCTCTCTCTCTCTCTCATCTTGGAGGCTTTTACTAAAATGTCCATTGATTTCTTTTTGTACTTAAAAGTGAAATACTGGCTGTACACGGTGGCTCATACCTGTCTTCCAGCACTTTGGGAGGCTGAGACAGGAGGAACGTTTGAGCCCAGGAGTTCAAGACAAGCCTGGACAACATAGTGAGATCTGGTCTCTATAAAAAATGTAAAAAGTTAGTGGGGTATAGTGGCACATGCCCATACTCTCAGCTACTTGGAAGGCTGAGGTGGGAAAATGGCTTGAGCCTGGGAAGTTGAAGCTACAGTGAGTGGTGATTACATCGCTGCACTCCAGCCTGGGCAACACAGTGAGACCCTCTGTCTACAAAAATTTTTCTTTAAATGAGCCAAGCGTGATTGCACATGTCTGTCATTCTAGCTACTCAGGAGGCTGAGGTGGGAGGATGGCTTGAACCTGGGAAGTTGAGGCTGCAATGAGCCATCATCCTGCTGCTGTATTCCAGCCTTGGGGACAGAGTAAGGCTCTGTCTCTATTTTTTTTTAAAGTGAAGTACTAAAAAACTGTTTAGAAGAGCTGCGTACATTAGCAGGGCTTGTTGATTGGGGCACCTTGCTGTAGAATAAGGAGGAATGGGCTAGCGTTTTTACTAGAGGATCCACAAATGTGAATGTCTAGAGGTTTTTCCCTTGGGCTCTTCAGTGTGTTCCTCTAGAGGAGAGTTCTTTAATCCCTTGCCCGAGGGACACACAGATAGGTACTTGTATTCTGGGAACAGGATAGGATGAGTGAGTTGGAAAGGTGTCTCACTGTTTAGGGTATAGATGTTCATTTAATTTCCTGGCTTCAAGTTCCATTTTCCCACTCTTTGCTGTGTCTGCTGTGCCACGTTTGGGTACTCTC